ATAAACAAACTGTGGTACTTGCACACAATGGAATACTATGCTACCTTCAAGAACAACAAGGAAGCTGCAAGCCACCGCATAACATGGATGAACCTCGAGGACATTATGCTGAGTAAAATTAATCAGTCACAAAAGGAGATATACTGCATAAGACCATTATTGTAAAGGACTAAGAAAAAGAACCCACCCAAAAGGGGGGAAAAAACAATCTATATATATAATTGCTGATCACTAGAATGTATGGGATGAGAGGAGGGAAGAGAAGGAGGGGAAGAAAGAGCATAGGGTAGGGAATAGACATAGGAGAGCCTGGTTGCTGGGGCTGGCAATACACAAGAAGCGGGAGGGGAAAAGAAGAACAAGGCGGACAGGAGAAAGCTTGGGCAAGTTCGTATGGGCTAGGTGGGACACAGGTAAATGATGATGAATGTACAACCTTGGAATAACAGGGCTTCAGGATATAGGGATAGAGGCATGGCTTGAAAGGGGAAAAGAAGTGAATAATGGTAGGATGCTTGGCTGTCTTTTGAATCTTAGTTTCCCTTGCCTACCATTGTGAAATAGACACTTGGTGGGCGGGAGCGGGGGAGGTGGAGATAGCCAGAAACATCACAACAGAAAGCATGTAAGCCCGTCTTCAGCTTATAACTGACTGGAATACCTTGAGGGGAGCTGGAAATTGCCCAGACCCAAAATGGGACAGGGGACCTATAAAAGCAAGAAGTGACTGGCTTACAAGCTTTCAAGAGGGAGCCTAGTTCCAGGCGGGACAGGCGTAGGCAGAACCTTCACTGAATGATTTCCAATCTGTTGGGACTGGGCTGGTGGAAGGAAATGGGGATAAGACTCTTGTGGTACAACAGGAATACCTGCCATCAGGACTGACTGTGAGGGTCGGAAATGTAGAGGCAGATTTTTTTTTTTTTTTTTCAAAAGGAGGAGATTGATTGATTTTGTAGCCCAGGAGCGGAGGTCCCTGGGACCATTAAGCGAGAAGAGAAAGTGTGCCCCTACCCAGACAGGCAGTGAGGCCAGGCATAGAGACAGAGATGATGGCGAGGACAGATGGAGTGGCTGGGGACATGGGACTCAGGGAGGGAGAGGAGCTGTTTGCTGACAGCCACGGGGGCGGGCCTGTGGGATGTGTCCTTTGGTTATTTGATGATTCATGGAGGGAACTGTAATCATTACAATGAAATGTAATACAATAGGATGAATATGAAGCTGAAGTGGGACAGAGGCAAATAATGATATATGCACAACCTTGGAACAACAGGACTCTGGGATACAGGAATTGAGACTTGGTTGGAATGGGGGAAAGGGGGCAAACAATGTTAAGATGAGTGGCTGTCTATTGAATCTTGGTTTCCCTGGCATACCACTATAAAGTAGACACTGGAGGGAGAGAGAAAGGAATAGCCAGAAATATCACCATAGAAAGCATGCAAATACATCTTCTGCCTATAACTGATTGGAATACTTAAAAAGGGGCTTCAACATGCCCAGTGAAGGAGGCTTCTGTGGAGCCTCTGTATTACATAAGACTATATAGATGGAATCCTGAACAGCATCCAGAATCTTCTGAGGGGAAATTTCCACTTGAAAGGACAAGCAGACCAGCCTGGAGTGGCCAGAAGAACAGAAGATACTTCTTAAAAGAAAGACTGACAGGAAAAATACAAAACAATACAGGCAGATGACTGATTGCTACAAGAGCAAACAAGTGGATTGCCCAGGAGACATCAAGGCAAGTGGTCGGGTCCCCCTCAGGGCAAACTTCCTTCTAAGACTAATACTCAATGGGAATACATGCTCTAATTGGTGACCACATTCGTCACTTTTAAGGGGAAGTGAGGGAAAAACAGCAATGAAGCTGCGAGCTAAGCCCTACAACATTCAATAGACTCCTGTGGACCTGGTTCGCCAGCACTATGGCAAGACCTGGGGACTCTTGGGCCCAGAGTCAGTGACATAGCCACAGAGGACTAGAGTGGGGAGTGAAGTATCCAGCTGATAAGACGAGAGGGCGTATGCATAAGTACACCCACACTTGAAGATAATACCCACATGACCAACTTCAATGGCCGGATGATCAGAGGTCAACTAGAAAAAGAAAGAAGAGGAAAAAAAGAATAATCTGATACAATTTGATGAACTTGACCTACATCTATGGAAGCAGTAGCTCAAAAGAGGGCAAAAATCATCACAGAGAGGATCATTCCCACCCCCTCCACACATGGAGAGGACAGGGATTGTAAGGGCTGGAAATGTTAAGGTAGATGTTTTAGGATTCACCTCCACTGTTCTTGGCTCATTCACATTACAACTTGGACATTGGCTACTGGGGGAGGGGGTGGCTACAGAGGCAAGAAGTGACTGGCTTACAAGCTTTCAAGAGGGAACCTAGATCCAGAGGGCGTGGAGCAAGGTAGAATCTCCACTGAGTAGTATCCAATCTGTCTAGGTGGGACTGAGGAAAAGAGATGCGATAGGTCTCTTGCAATACAGTGGTGAATAATTGTTATCAGGACTGATTGTAAGGGCTGGAAATGTTAAGGTAGATGTTTTGTAGCAAAGGGAGGAGAGGGATTAACTTTGAAGTCTAGGAGCAGAGGTCCCTGGGACCATCAAGGGAGAAGAGCAGAGAGCAGGACCCT